TTCTTTTTCATCTTCTTGTCCATGTTGTTCTCCTCTTTCTCCTTCTTTTTCTTCTTTTTCTCCTCCTCCTTTTTTTCTTCTTCTCAGTGTTCTTCTCCATAATCTTCTTTTTGTTTCCTTGTTCTCCTTTTTCTTGATCTTCTGATTCCTTTTCTTCTCTACCTCCTCCTCATTGTCCTTCTTCTTCTCCTTCTTCTTATCTTATGTTTCTCCTTCCTGTTCTTCTCCTTCTTCTTGTTCTCCTTTCTTCTTCATTTCTCCATCTCCTCCTTCTCCTGCTTCTTCTTCTTCCTCCTTCTCCTGCTTCTTTTTCTCCTCCTCCTTTTTTCTCCTCCTCCTTCTTCTTCTCCTTCCTCCTCTCCTCCTTCTTCTTCTTCTTTTTCTTTTTCTTCTCCTACTTTTTTCTTCTTCTTCTCAGTGTTCTTCTCCTTCTTGTTCTCCTTTCTTCTTTACTTCTCCATCTCCTCCTTTCTTCTTATCCTCCTCCTCCTGCTTCTTCTTCTTCTTCTTCCTCCTCTTCTTCTTCCTCTCTTCTTCCTTTTCTTCTCAATTTTCTTCTCAGTATTCTTTTTTTTCTTGTTCTCCTCCTTTTTCTTCTCCTCCCTTTTCTTCCCTACCTCCCTCCTCTTGTCCTTCTCCTCCTTCTTCTTATTCATCGTCTCTTCCTCCTTCCTGTTCTCATCCTTCTTGTTCTCCTCTTTCTTGTTTACTAATGTATCTCCTCCTTCTTCTCATCTTTCTTCTTCTTTTCCTCCTCCTGAACGTTCTTCTCAATATTCTCATTCTCCTTCTTTTTCTTCTCCTTCTTGTCCTTCGTTTTCTTCTCTACCTCCTTCTCCTTGTCCTACTTCTTCCTCTCCGTCTTCTCATTTAACTTCTCTTTCTCTTTCTTCTTGTTCTTTTCTTGTTCTTCTTCTTCTCCTCTTTCTTGTTCTCCGTCTCCTCCTCCTCCTCCTCCTCCTTCTTCTCATCCTCCTTCTCCTTTGTCGTCTTCTTCTTTCTCTTCCTTTTATGTCTTCTTTATGTTTCCTCTTTAATTCTGTTTTTCCTTCCTTCCTCTTCTTATTGTCTTCTTCCATCTTTGGTAATGACTGTATAAAGTACTAAGGTCATCACATTCTACAGTGGTGTGTGTGTGTGTGTGTGTGGGGGGGGGGGGTGAAGCCCTCAGGCATGCAGCTAGCGTATCCCCTCATTTTCCAAAATAACTTTATTCCTTTAAGTTTTTATGCGGCCAGTTTGAAAGAGTGGGCAGAAATCCATATCTGGAGGAAGAGGAGGGGCCGCACCACTTTAGAGCCGTGTTCCATTTCACGCTTCGGCTCCTACATTCAAATTTAATTGCAGGACCTCGGCTGCCGTGGAAAGCAGAGACAATCAATTACGGCCAAACGCAGAGAGAGAAATCCGGCTGTAGCATCTTCAGCCACAGCTGTACGGCACATGGAGCTGCGCTGAAGGAGCTCGGAGAAGATTGGGTGTCTAGCATGTTTTCATTAAATGGCTTAATAGATTTCAGTACATGCAGACGAGCTGTGGAAACATCGATGATTTAAAGACCTCGAAGTTTATAATTCTCTTAGCAAAGCAGTAAACGTTCTGTGTTCTCGTGCTTTTAATCACCGTGAAGCCGCACTGTCTGTGTGTGTCATGATTTCCGAGGGAAAAATAAGGAAAAAGGGGGTTTTTGGCACCTCACTGACCATAATTTTTACTTTAATGAAGTTAGATTTGGCTCATCTCTAACCCTGAATATCCACCAAAAATGACTGTATATGAAACCAATTTTCTTTCAAATCCTCAAAAACTATTGTACGGATTCTGGTTTTGTTTACAAAGTTTGGAATAACCATTTTCACACACAGACTATCCAGAATGAAGTTCTAACAAAGTAGAAATTTAGAGTTCCTCATTTTTGCAAAGAAAAAGACGTAGATGTTTACACTTTATTAGCATATTATTTGTCATTTAATAAGTTGTTATTCACATACAAGTGTAAAAAACATTAAATAAAACATCTAAATATGCTTCCTGGTGTCTAGTTTATAATGTATCATTCAATAAAATATAATTTTTTTTTTTTTTTAACCCAATTTTCTCCCCAATTTAGTCGTCGCCAATTCCACCCACTAGTTAGGACTCCCCCAGTCACATGATACCATCAGTGCTAGGAGGGTGAAAGCTAACACAGGCTTCCTCCGAGACCTGTGAAGCCAACCACCACTTCTTTTCGAACTGCCGCTCACGCAGGTAGACACACAGTGGGGTCCGAAAGTTTGGGACCGCTAGTGAAAAAAGCTTCTGTCCAATGCAAAAATTTTATCACCATTACACTTTGAGTGAAAAGTAGAATCTTTGAAATTTTAACACGAATTTCAGATTTTATTTGGTGGTGTGTCCCTCTTTTGCTCTAATGACTGTATGCGCTCGAGCTGCATGAAGTCCACAAGTCTGTGTAAAAGCCTCCACTGAGCAGATCAGCTCCACCTGAGACTCGTCTGAACAGGAGCTTCACTGGAAGAGACGAGACTAAAAACAGACCTGAGCTTTTAGTACAAAGAGCTTAACATGGTCAGTTTGGACCACTCCTGAAACTGAGCTGGGGACAGGGGAGGGAACTCTGAGAAGCTTAGGCAGGAGTTCTTCATGACTAGCCAAGATCACGTATGCTGGACAACCGCCAATCCTTCAGGTATGGAAGAGTAGGAGGAGACGAGATGGTGGTGCGATGCAAATGCTTTGTTACGGGAGACTGAAGGGAGAGGAGAGTTTGTAAGGCACAGAATTAAGAGACAGAGGAGTTTCATGGATCTTTTCCCAAACTTTCATAACTCCATTTAAATCTGAGTCGTGACCTAATAATAACAGAAAGAATATTTCTTCTTTATTTTATTTGTTGGAACTTGTTTTGTCAAAATTCCAAACCTTTCTGTTGTTCAAGTAGAATCTGGAAGTAAACAACAGATGAGGCAGTGTGGTCTCAGACTAACAAAAAACCACAACAGCTAATATAAGATGTCCAGTTTTGGTGCTCTAGTGCAGATGTTCTTCTTTTGAGTCTGTCTCCTTTTCTCAGTGAGGTTCTTCTTGACAGCTACACATCCTTTCAGACCCACAGCGCTGAGTCGTCTTCTCACATAGAAATAAAAAGATGTGCAATTCAAACAAAGAAGCTGCTGGTGTTCTCAGAACAATGGACTGACCACCCCAGAGTCCAGACTGAATGTGTTTGATTACTTCAGAAAATGATCAACCAGCTTCTAAGACTGAACTTTGGAGGTGTGTCTGCAGATTCTTTGAGGAACTGAAAGTGAGTCTCCTGAACAGAATGGAAGCTGGAATAAAGGTGAAGAGTGACTCACTGAACACTGAACACTCAGACAGCTGATAGCAGATTTAGTTCTTAAGGTTTTTGTGTAATTTTCTTTGTGTTTCCTCCTTTTTTCCTGACAATGAAAAATGAATGACTTCTGCTTAATGGCTGTTTTGACTAAATATTAAATTAGACTTTTGCACAGTACTATACTTATACAGACCTCCAAATAGAACTGCCTTATAAATACACATGGACGTAGCGAAGCGCTCGAGTTCCCACAGAAAACAGGCCTTTTTTAACCGCACAGCCAAAATACCCTCCACCACACTCACTACCACGTTTACCGCTCTTTCATTGGGCCTGATGGTATTTGGGCCTGTCTGATAGCTTTTGAGATCTAACTGCTGAATAAGAAAACATTGTCCTCCAGATCAGTAATCTGCCTGTAACCAGGGGGGCAGGAGGCACCAGTAAACCATCCAGTAATGGTGTGTTTACTCTGCCTGTGATGTTTGCCATTTCGTGTTTTATAACCACAAACAAAATGCTCGAATTCCTGTTCCAAAATCCTTTAATTAAAGAGAGTTCATGGACTTTCCCTCTGTTTACTGTTGGTCTTTAACAGCTTTTCTTCTGTCCATCTGGTGCTACATAGAATCATAACATTATGACCACCTCCTTGTTTCTACATTGTCCATTTGATCAGCCCCACTTACTATATAGGTGCACTTTGTAGTTCTACAGTTACAGACTGTAGTCCATCTGTTTCTCTGATACTTTGTTAGCCCCCTTTTACCCTGTTCTTCAGTGGTCAGGACCCCCAAGGACCCTCACAGAGCAGGTACTATTTGGGTGGTGGATCATTCTTAGCACTGCAGTAACACTGACGTGGTGGTGGTGTGTCAGTTTGTGTTGTGCTGGTCTGAGTGGATCAGACACAGCAGTGCTGCTGGAGTTTTTAAACACTGTATCCACTCACTGTCCACTCTATTAGACACTCCTACCTTGTCAGTCTACCTTGTAGATGTAAAGTCAGAGACGATAGCTCATCTGCTGCTGCACAGTTTGTGTTGGTCATCCTCTAGTCCTTCACCAGTGGTCACAGGATGCTGCCCACAGGACGCTGTTGGCTGGATATTTTTGGTTGGTGGACTATTCTCAGTCCAGCAGTGACACTGAGGTGTTTAAAAACTCCAGCACCACTGCTGTGTCTGATCCACTCAGACCAGCACAACACACACTAACACACCACCACCACCACCACGTCAGTGTTGCTGTAGTGCTTAGAATGACCCACCACCCAAATAGTACCTGCTCTGTGAGGGTCCATGGGGGTCCTGACCACTGAAGAACAGGGTAAAAGGGAGCTAACAAAGTATCAGAGAAACAGATGGACTACAGTCTGTAACTGTAGAACTACAAAGTGCACCTATATAGTAAGTGGAGCTGATAAAATGGACAATGAGCGTAGAAACAAGGGAGGACTGGATCCTGACACGTGATATAGAACCATATGCAACACATTCTCCTGAACCCGATGAACCGTTTCACCATGCAAAGAACCGTTTAAACATGCAGATGGTTCTTGGTTCTTGTTCATGGTTCTTTTTAAGAGTGCACTTTTTAATAGAAACACCTTGTACCACACGAGCCTGAATCATACTCAAATGTTCTCCTCCAACAGGTGACGGGCACTATGGGTGGAATGCAGAATGGGCTGAAGGAGCACCTGTCGCGATTGGACGAGATCTTTGCCACGCGAGGGGACTTCGTGCAGACACTGCACTTCATGCAGCAGATGGCAGATAATGTCATTAAACAGCTTCTGGGGCTGCCAGACTGGGAGCAGGCCAAAGTGGACCTCGCTGCCATCGCTGACCAGACTGCCTTCGTAGAGTATTACAGGTGAAAGAGCTCAGATCAGTGGTCTTCATTCGTTTTGGTACATTTATAAATACACAGGGGGGGGGTGAAAACTTTGTCCCAAATGTTCCATAGCCACTGCTTTTAATTGCCATTATGCTAAAAATTAACTGGGGATCTAAAGTATAAAACTATGGTTAACAATTTTTGAATAAAATTGCAGAATTCATCTGGTTGCATTATAAAAATCATAGGGCCCAGAGGAGAGCCCTGAGGAACACCATTAGTCATTTCTCAACGTTTTAGTATCACATATTCGTCCCTGAAACTACTTGCTGAGTGTTGAGGTCACTTTGAGTTTTACACATGCTGGTCTTACACATGCTACCAGTGGAAGCAGAGTGGCCAGTTAGACTCATCTGCTTGTACACCTCAGTACTGTGATCTCGTCTGTAGAATTTTTCGGATCCGGTAGCAGGCAGACTGAGTGAAGCCTTGTGCAGACCCAGGGAGTGGTCACCGGTGTCCGATGCATCTGGCGGATCAATAATGTGCATTGTGATGGTGTTTGTTTTCAGATTTAAATGACCTCTTTCAGAGCGAGCACTTAAGCACTGTTTGCTAGATAAGTAAATGCTTGAGCACAGTACCAGAAAAGAACCACATCTTATCTTAACGCGACTTCTTGTTCAGTCATGGTTAAAAGTTCTAGTGCTCCTTAAGTCAAGGAGGAGAACAGAACACCTGTGCTTCTTTACACTTGAAGAAGAAGGCAGCTAACAGGTCTAATTCAATTGAGGTGATCCATACTTCACACCTATTACATGCTACTTTATTCATTTTACAAATAATAAGCAGTTTTTTAGGAAGAAGCTGAAGGTGAGTTAAACAGTACGGTGGCCAAGAAGACCCAACAAAATGCAAATAAAAAATGAGCTGCAATCGCAGAAAACACTCATCAAAATGACGACACTGACACTACATTTCATAAACGCACTGCAAACACAGGAACACATGCAACTTCAGAAAAGTTGATAAGCCAGTCACAGCACAGCGGAGGTGTTTCCGGAGGACAGTCAGAGACGACGGAGCCATCCAGACTTTTAAACTCTATGCAGCACAAACATTCACCGGTAAAGACAGTTCAGTTTTATTTGAGCAGATTACTGACATCACTGTATCGTAATGGGAATTAGCTGCAGAGAGTAACTGTGAAGGTTTAACTAGTAACACCAGATTAATTACCACAGCACAGCTCTGACACGTCAGATAGCAAACTAGCCAGCCAGGTTAACCATGAACTCGGCGTGTGAGGGTCCGAGTGTCTGTGGTCTGATCTGCTTCTCTCAGTGATTTTCCATCATAGATATTCCATCCACTTTGAGCCCTTTGAGTCTTCCAGAAACATTTCTGTTGTGTTATGATTGGCTTTGCAGCGTTCCTGAATTTGCCTGTGTTTCCTCTATTTGCAGTGTGTTTGTAAAGTTTGTAAAGTGTGTTTATGAGCTTGCGAAGTGTTTTTAATTGTACTATGAATAGGATCTTGTCGGCCACCGTAAAACAGAGCAAAAATTTCAACGGTAGTTTGAAAGGGGTACGAAAAAAGAGAGACTATTATTGAAGAGGCTATAAAAGGCTTTACGTTAAAATGGAACAGAAAAGGTTTAAGGCAGATATTAGGACCTATAGGAGGGAACGAAGACAAAGTATGAGCTTAAGAAGACGTCTCGAATGGAGGAGGGATTAACCCTATCAAACCGAACCGAAAATCCATGAATTTTCGGCTTTGTCAGATTAAGTTCTCTGCATATCAAAGAAATACAACCACAGCGCTGAGATACAGTGTTATAAAAGGTGAAGAGCAGATTAAACAGCATTAAAAGCTGCTTTTTTGTGGAGACATTAAAGGATTAAATGAAGCCAGTGAGTTCAATGGACTGTGAGATCTGACAGGTTTGTAAGGGAACGTGTTAGAGAAGTAGGCTTCTGGGTAAGTAGGATCCTGCGTACGCTGTTCATTTTTTCTCTTTGACTGTTGAGTGTGTGGTTAAATTGACTTATATTGCATCACCTTATCTGTCTGTCGCTGTCCCTGAGTGAAATCCCGGTGAGGGGAAAACTGTCTCCCACAGTCCTAGTTCTGAAAAAGTTTGGAGGCACTTTAGAAGGATTTTAGGTTATGGAGATGTTTGGACCGTTCACTGCTTATCATAATGCTGAGGTGTTTGCAATTGTATACGGTTTCATGGTAGACCATGGTATAAAAATTGATGGTTATCATATATGTTTGCTTATTACATTTACATTTATGGCATTTGGCAGACGCTCTTATCCAGAGCAACTTACAGTTGGATCATTTTACACATGTAGGTGAAGGTAGTGTTAGGAGTCTTTCCCAAGGACTCCTAGGCTACGTTTACACAGCAGGTAAAAGTGGTCCAAACCTGATTTTCTCACCAAATCCGATTTTGTTTGTCTGTTTGTTCACATTATCTTTTAAATGTGACCTAAATTGACCTGCATGCGCAAAAGAACAGTGCTTTACATGGCTCGTCCAGAGGTAAGCAATCATGACGGCCAGTGAACGCCTGTCACTCCCAGAGCTTTCAGTTTCGTCTTCGCCAGCATCACAGGAGCGATTATGAAGTTCCAGTGGTTGACAGCTGGACTCATCACCCACAGTGTGTTTGAGCTCGGCGTAAAAAGGGCTCCTTATTCTGCCACGGGCACTTCTTTGGTTCGTGTCCTCGGATTCTTTAAACCTTTTTTTGACGCTGCAGCCTCGCTGTCCTCCGGCCTCGGTAGGTCGTTTCATTTGAAATCTCTTCGAACACAGAACGGTTGCTGATACAGAAATATCAGCCTAAATGTTTATGAATCTCAGCAGCGTGAAATTATGACGAATATCGAGTTGGATTGGCGTAAAAGTCGCATGAATTCCGATCTGACTGTTCAGACTGAGTCGCATTGCCGCAGATCGGATACGTATCGGATTTCAGTACCACATATAAAAGCGTCTCAAATCGGAATTAAAAATGTCAGATTCAGTGTGTTTTTTGCTGTTCAGACTGACACACAGACACATCTGTGTCACATACGGAGAAAAAGATCAGATTTGGGCCACTTTTACCTGCTGTGTAAACGAAGCCTTATTGGTATAGTGTAGGGTGCTTACCCAGGCAGGGATTGAAGCGTTGAAGGCAGAGGTGTTACCCACTACACTATACCAACCACCGGTATTGATCGGTATTATCGGTATTGAAAAAAATGCGACAGAACGGAGAATCTCACCTGCACATACGCATCTTATTTCCTCTTCGACTGCCTGTCAGACTCAGCAACTGGCGCCACACACTCACATGTAGGGGTGCAGGAAAAAATCGATTCTTAGATGCATCGCGATGCAGACGTGAACGATTCTGAATCGATTCACAAATGTCAAAAATCCATTTTCTAAATATTTCATTTATAACGTAATGTTGACGGAACGCAAAGGGCGGAACTTGGAAGTGGGTAAGTGCAGCGCCCGGACAGTCTGTGGCGGCACATAACAAAATCACTAACTTACTGGATGAGTGAGAAATCCGACCGGCTCCCTCTGCATTAAAGCCAGGTTAGGTCAGGAGTCACAACACAAATGATAAGAAGAGCCATTTTGTCCTTTCAACAAAAATCAAACCTCCTTAGGAGCCACAACATTTAACGTCCAGTATGTCTCAGTATGTGCTGATGTCCTAGTATAGACTAAACAATATAAACGAAAACACAGATTTACTCTACTCTACTTTAAGCTTCAGCTACAGCTGCTTTCCTTACATCTCCGCCAGAAAACCTTTTCTCAAAAGTTGAACAGTTTCTTGTAAAATGTCTTTCAGCTTTCGGCCGTTTTACGAGGCTGAAGTCGCTTCTTATTCTCCAGCTTCTTGCTGAACTTTCCGGTTCCACCTTAAATTCTGACTGAGGTGCCGAATGTAATTGCGGCACCATTTAAGGTGGAACGGGAGAATTCGAAAGAGAAGCGACTTCAGCCTCACCACTTTTTAGTGTGTGACAGTCTCTCATTGCAGATTTAACGTTCCAGGAAACTGCGCTGCTTATAAATGCGAATAAGTCCATTCGTCTCGAAATGTTCGTCTGTCTTTCTCTTTTCCTTTTTCGTTCACTACTCGCTCGGCGAAACCTCGTTGCTACGTGACCTGCAGTCTTTCGTGCATTTTATTGCAGATGAGTGGCAGCAGCGTGTCATGAGCTCCAAACCAGAGCAGTGAATGAGAACCTTCCAGTTCACTCGCCACATCAATTCCATTTGATTTATTAATTAAAGATATTGGACATATATGCACTATGGATCGTTACTTTGTTTTAAAACTACCAAGTCCTCAGACAGTAAGAAAATAGAGATCATGTGTAGAAAAAAAAGATGCATCGAGATGCATCGATGATCATTTTATAATCGCATCGCAGCTCTCTGAATCGTAATCGTAATCGAATCGTGAGCTGCCTAAAGATTCCCACCCCTACTCACATGTAGAGGAGTGAATGGCAGAGAGAAGCGAGACTGATATCGCCAAACTCCATCCTCTGGAAAAGAAATGAAAATCAGCAGAGTGGGATTACTTTGGATACCCTAAAAATAAACACGGGGCTGTCCTTGAGGACAGATATCCAGTTTGCAAAACATGTAGATGCAAAGTGGCTTTCAAACGTGGAAACACATCAAACGCGTTCGTCATCTTTGAGAACACCATCCTTCCATGCAGACCAAAGTATGTGTCCTGTTTATTTTACTTCCTAAATCCCTTAAAACTGTGTTAATAGTGAGTTTGTGCTGCAGTAACAGCCTCTACTCTTCTGGGAAGGCTTTACACTAGATTTTGGAACACTGCTGTGAGGATTTGATTGAGCAGTAGTGAGGTCAGGTGCTGATGTTGGATGGTCAGTTCTGGATCACTCCAACTCATCTCAAAGGTATTGGATGGAGCTCCATCACTCCAGAGAACGCAGTTCCACTGCTCCACAGCCCAGTGCTGGGGGGCTTTATA